CGACCATTCTGTGATTCTGTGACACAAGGCTGAATGACATGCAGAGAAACGAGCTATGGAGAGAAGACCCTTTACTAAAAGCCAAGGTCCTGGGACATTCAAACCTGAACGTGTTCTGAGACCTATCACTCGAGTGAGCACTGACACAGAGCCCTATTTAGCGAAAGCCAGCGCCACCGTCATATCGTGTACGCTTCTCCTCCGTATACAGGTGAAAAAGGAGCTTTGAAATCCTGATTGCCAGCACAGCAGCTTTTCCTGGATATCCCAATGATAAAGAAGCCACAGGAGAAACCAACCCTTTGGCTTTTCCTGGGTCACAGACACATATGCTCGAAGCATTTGGTTTTTATTTCTGCTTCCACTTTGCAATAGATCTGGCTGCCGGCAAAAGCCGAGCGATTGAAGCTGGACAGATTTTTCATCTTTTGTTCTCTTCCACTCAAGCGTGCTGCGCTCTCTTCCCACAGCACAGAGCTCTCGCAGCCCAGTAACATCATGGAAAGGGGTTTGCTTCTGAGATAAAATGGGAGAAAAACATCGTAACGCCAATGTGCTGCGGTCCTTTCTAGCTTTCCAGCAGCCAGGAAGGCGTCCCACCTCCACCCAGCAGCAGAGGCTCAGTACAACTCAGCAGAGGTCGGAGAGAGTCAGTCAGAGGTGGTGCCTCCTCTCCAGACATCTACCTTGGGATGTACTGACTGAGGGTTTTTTCCCCTCTCTCTCTCTGTCCCTTTCCCTCTCTTTGTTGTCTCCAGACAACACGAGTTGTAACCCATTTATCAACTGGACATCCCACTTCTCACCAGCTGCGGTTAAGCAACGTGACTCCCGCTCCAGATGCTTGGTGGAACAGCACACAGACAGCACGGACACTTCGCATGAGGTAGCGGATGCCAAACCAGACACATTCTTCACTCCTTGCATGAACCCTCGGCCAGTGGCCAGCCAGATGGATAAACGAAATGCTGAGCGATAAGGCAACAGTTAAACACGCATCTTCTTCATCCTGAAAGCTTTTTTTTTTTATTTTTGGAAACTGTTTAGACACTTTAAAACTATGCTGAGGTCTACATCGGGTTCACTTGACTTTAAAGAAGAACAGGATTTATATCTCTAAGGAAAAAAAAAATGTTCTTTCTCTTTCCAGATGGCACCTTTCATGAGGTCAAGACAAAACCTTGCTGGCTACGAACGCCTGTGCCTACTGCCACACAGCTGCACAGTCCAGGGGCTGCTTAGGCTAGGGGAGAGCGCTGCTGTGAGGCTGGAGGACATGCAATTAAAGCGTAAGGCAACGAATGCACTCATTAAGAAGGGGCACATGGTACACAAGTCCTCATGGAAGCTCTTAACCCAGGGGAAGAGCAGAGCCCAACACGGCTCGGGTTGTCCTGCAGCGAGGACAGCCGTCGGACTGAAGGTAGGCTCCAAAACCGAACAGCTGAGCTTCAAACCCTCACGCTACGAACCCTCCGAGCGAGGAAGCGTCCCCCGAGGACACAAGTGTTTGCCCCGGTGACACCAAAGCACGAAGGGCCGCTCTGGGAAGGGAGCTGTTGGCCTCGCTGCACCATGGCTCAGAACGTCCCAGCCCGACATCCGTGTGCCGCGTTCGCTGTAGCAGCACCGAGCGCTCCTAGGCTGGGCAGAGGCTCAAAGGCACGACCAGTTCTCCAAAGCCTCCTCTCCGAACGCCCGCAGTTCAGGGGATCCCAAACCCTGACGATCTGTGAAGGCTGCACGTTTCCTGGCTCTGCCCCCAGCGCCTCTTCGGGACGTACTGGAAGTCGTCGTGGCTTCCGTTGGGCTTATGGTTTGTCAAAGGCACGTATGTCCTAGCAAATACTCGCCTACACAATCAGAGAACTCTTTGAGGGAAACAAACCGTGCGCACACACACACACACACACACACACGCTTCAGTGACTAAAACCAGAAGCCAGTTTAAAAATAAACACGTTTCTTTTCAGGAAGCCTATTTGGGTCAATGGAGAATTCTCTCCCCACAGCGAGGGGCAGCTTGAATACAGCACACAGATGGTTCCTCACTGACCACAGGCCTGTGAGCTTCGCACTAACCAGACCCCTTTGGTCCAGATTACACTGCTGGAATAGGAAAACCCCGGTTCTGAGAGATTCCCCCCCACAAAGCGCCATTTATCTGAGGTATTTCTGACACTGTGTCATCAGAACTGTTTATTTCCGTACGGTGATTACCCCAAGGCTCCACTGAGAACCCGTTTGTCTCTCCACCCAGAAGGGAAGTTTTATCTTGGGTGCCTTCCCAAAGGTTTAAGCGATGCACATTAGGGCAGGCTTGCTGCATGATCGTCCTTCATTCACCCCAAGTTAATTTTCACAGATTTTTCTTGTTAACTTCCCCTTTTTCATCAATTTTATTTATCAAGCACGTTTGAATGAATCTTCAAGCAGTCCTACTCGGCCGCTGCGAGAGGTGTCGCCGCCAGAGGTGTTCCTCAGATGAAGATGTGCTCTCCAGATCACACGAGGAGGAGCTGGCAGGCTCCTGAACAGCCCTTGCCAGGCATTCCTTACCCTTGGCACCTTCTCGGTGCAGCAGCATTGGCCTCTCTGCCCAAAACACGGAGGAGAAACCGCTGCCACTCAAGCCAAGGAAGGAAGGACATCTATTCGATCAGCCTTCAAACCCTGGCTGGGCTGGCAGTCCCCTAAAAGTCTCTCCCTGCCTTTTGCTTTATTGCAGACATAGTTTAAGGTAAGGATGAATTTTGTTGGTAAACCGAGCACATTTATAGAGAACCTGGGCCCAATCTGAACATAAAGGGAGGGGACACAGGGATACTCACTGTAGATCAGAGGTTCTGGGGTGCCATCTCCCCTCAGACAAAGCAAAAATCATTTCAGTGTGAGGCGCAGCATTCCCGCAGGGAAAAATCAAGCTTTCCAAGCTGTATCCTAAGGTCTCAACCCTTCAGAGACAACCCAGGGCTGCCCAGCTTGTATTTGGACTAAGCATAAACCTGGGATAATTGCATTTAAGAAGTTTTCATTGAAGCCCACATCAAGTACTACATGTAGGTTCCACGGAAAACGTATTTTTAATCCAGATGTGACGAGACTGAGCCAAGCTTTCACAGACCTTCCAAATTCCTTATCAGTGGGAATTGCCTCGACCTCCCTGAGAAAACTCAGCATCAACGCTGTCATTCAGACCTTCTTTTCTGGGGGTGGAGGGTGATAATCTCACCTGTTTTGGGGGTATTGCTGTCCAGCAGAAGGTGGAGTTTCATCACAGAGGCAGTTCAAGAACGTTGCTTCTCGTCATTCCCACCCACACTCCCTCCTAAGGCCGCATGTTCCTTCCTCTGGGACTAGCCGCCCCTATCACAGCCGTAGAGTGAACTCCAGCGGTATCTGCACTACCAAGGTAGGCTGAGGGGGTTTTACTTCGCACTTTTGTCTGGTGCACGGGCCCAAACACTCCTCCCACGGCACGGTTCAGGGATTTTTGAAGGACAAGCGATAGGTCAGACCTTGCTGCTCCCTTTGCCGGCTGCACCGTACCTGGGCAGTCCCTGGAGAAACGCGCCTGGTTTAGTTTCCTTGGAGAGCAGCCTCATTTGCGCACACCAAAACCATTTCGTGAACCAAATCCGTTTTTCAAAAGTGGGAATGACTGGGGCACTCCCTTCAAAACCCAGGTACTACTCCAGACCAAACGTGGACACAGTCTCCAACGCTGCCTTTGTCAGGGCTGTTTGTCTCTCTGCTCCGCAGTGCTGCGGTGCCTTTGGTAACCGCCTACAGGCTGGCCGAGTGAACCCAGAGGGGAGACAAATCCCCCCACAAAGTCATAGGGGGGTTTCCTGAAGCACAAAGCGGACAGACAGGTGACACGCGGAGTTAAATACGTGTGATACAGAGGGATTTCTGTGCTAACCTCTGCAAGGCAACGACTCTCTGCCTCCAAGGCGTAACTCTTTGAACAAACAGTGAGGTCAACCAGTGCATCGAGTATCCAGATCTATCTCAAGATCCTCCTGCTCCAAATTTGGTAGGAAAGGAGAAAAAAATTTATTATTAGAGATTTTAAAATCCTCTATTTTTATAACGTTGAATACAAGAGTTGCAAGTTACTGAGCGAAGTGTCCAGGAATTACCAAAGCACCCAGCCTTTTTATTACAACATTTATTTTAGTATAGAAGGCACTTACAATACAGAAAGAAAAAAAAAAAGAAAAAAAAAAGATAGGCACCAAAAGTGAAATTAGAATTAAAACGACAAAGAAACAGTTTACCAGACAAAAGGAGCACCCTTCCCTGTTAACGATACAGCACACGGAAACGAAGCTATTGGTGACTAACTTTTTTTAAACAGTTAGGGCTTTTTTTCTTTTTGTTTTTTTATTAGAAAAAAAGATAAAGGCTGTCCTACTGCAAACTGCAATTAAGAAAGAACCCCTCCACACACCGGATCAAGGATTTGGGAGTTGGTGGTGTTTGCAAACGCGGGGCCTTTCAGCTCCGGCACTGCAGGAGGTCCTGGTACATCTCAATGAGGCGAGCGGCCTCTCTCTGCCCAGAAAGCACAGCACCGTGGGTAGTGGAATAATACTTCCTGTGAGTGGCCTCCCCTGAAAACATCACCTGCATCGGCTGGAGAGGAAAAGAGAAGGGGAAAAGCTCAGCAGCGCTCGCCAGAAAGCTCACCAGAAAAGGAGACAACACAGTCCGTGCCCTCCCGCGCCCCCACGAGCTGACACCAGTTTGGGGAGCGCTGTTTCCCGCGATCCCAATGCGGTGCACCACGGGGACAGGCACAGGACACGTCTGCCGAGGTCAGGCTCACCCTCGCTGCCATTTGCAGGGCTGAGGCAGCAGCGCAGAGCCAGACGCCAGCTCCAATAACCGCACCCAAACCCGCACGAGTCGCTGACTCCTCTTTTTGGCCCCCCAAATTATACTTTAGCCTTTTGGGCATCGAGGATTTGTTGGTCTGGACTGCAATTTCAGAAGGAAAGAGAGTCACGTCTCAAAACCCCACAGGGTGAGACAGTGTCTTATCTCTTACATCAGGTGCTTGCTAAAATTGCTGCCAGCTCAGTTCTGAGGCAGCAATTTCACGTACCTCTCTTCCCTGGGAAGTTCAGAGAAAGAGCCCTAAAGCTCCTGCTTTCTCTTTTAACAGATTCCTGTGCTGAACAAAATTACATGGTGGGGTCAGGCTCTGGATGGAGGAGACGGACTGGGCAGACTGATGGAGGTTGCACCTTCATCAACCATTGTCTTTGGATTTGGACACATAACCCTGACTGATGGGGTGAGCTTGGCTTTACGGGCCGCTGCTCCGCAGCTGAGCTGTGGTGACCATCTCCATGCGTGCTCTTGTTCTCCACGCTATATTCCGAAAGCAAAGGCAGCGTCTGAGGAGCAAACTCATTGTCCCCTGCCCATGCAGGAGGCCCCCAGCCAAGGATGGGGCCTCCCTCACCCTCTACTGCCGACACAGAAAGATTTCCTAATACGCACCTCTCACACATCCAGACCTAGCCATCAGCAGGGGTTGTGCACCGAATCCTCCACATTCAGACCATGCTTTAGAACAGGATAACGTGCTTTCCTGGGGAATTCCAAACTAAAACAATACAGCTAATGGTCTTTAAATGCAGAGATCAGAATTCCAAAAGCCACGCAGATGCCCAGCTCTTGATAATGTTAGAGAGAGATGTGGGCATCCCTGAGATGTTTGGATTCCAAACTTCAGAGGTAAAACCCTACGTATATTATTTGTCCGAAGAGGTATGTATAAAAAAACCTGGAAGACACACTACTGGAGGCCCAACCTGCCTCTCTGAACCTCTCCCCAGAAAACCCACTGCCCAGCGTCCCATTGCCATAGCACCCGTTTGGGCCGTACTTACAGCAGTTTTGGAGCTTTCGGCGTAAGGCAGTGGTTTCGCAAGTTTCTCTACATCAGCCCCACTAGACCCAACTTGGGTGTAAGAGTAGGATCCACGGAAGTTGGGATTGCTGCCCCAGGAGGACCGCAGGATCCGGCGAGGTTTCGGAATGTTTGGATTCCCTGGGTGGAAAGAAGGAGAAGAGGAAAAGTAAGACCGTGTCTGAGAGAAAACATGACAACGCCTGTGCAAGGTGTGGGGTGGCAGGTGTTCAGTCTGATTTATTGGAAACACATCCGAGCAGAGCCTGCAGGCTACAGGAAGGAGGCCCTAAACCAGATCTATTTTCTGTTACTGAGTTGGAAGTACCTGTGTAACAGAAATAGCATCCCTTTGAATCTCAGCTGCAGTCTTCCGTTTTGGGAAAGATCATGAAAATTCTCATGTTCCTAAGAGACTGAGAAGGTTCAGAGAACCCTGGACACAGTTTGAAAGTACAGAACATTTCCTGGTCTCATTCGCCATGGTGGTGATCAAGCATACGATTCATCTCACGTAGGTATTTAACTGGGTGCCCAGTCTAAACGGGATGTTTTAGGCAGCCTTGTGAGAGAGGTGCGCCTCCGAAGAGAAATGGAGATCAAGATGTGAGACAGCAAATCCTCATTATGCAGGGGTAGAGGAAAACCTGTCAGAAAGTTTCCAAAACCTGTGCTGCTCACTGCAACTGCTACTCAGCCGCTCCCCCTAATTAACCTAAAATCCAACAGATCCATTTTGTGGGACGCACATGGAATGGAACGAAGGCTTTTGAGGCTGGGAGTAGGATTTCTAGATTGCTGTAGGATTTCCACTGCTGAGAGGATGTAGGACCTGGAGGTGAGGGGCATTTGAGTGAACCAATGATAGGGCCACCATCAGCCACTGTCCCCATCCCAAAGAGCACAGGAGCACATGGGACCCAGGACTGTAGTCAAGGCAGCCCACTAGCTGGTGCCACAAGAGCCGCAGGTAAAACGGGAACAGCGAGGGTCATACATCGGCGAGCCTCTTGCTAGGCTGGTTTGAGACCATCTCAGTGTCACTGACAGAGATTTGTTGGTGTCCCGTGATCACACCTGGCTTGGCAGGAGGGCAATGGGGAGACTGGGACATGGAGAATTGCGATGAAGATAAATTCTCTCTGCAGGAGAGCTGAGACCTGCCCTTGAGGCGGCCAGGCAAGGTTCAGCTACTGGAGCCTGGGAGATTGTCAGCACATGAAGCAAGAGTAACTGAGACACGTTTGCATCTTGCACAGCTCCTGCGCCTGCTTCAGGCCCTGGCTCTGAAATGCTTCAGCAAGCTTACCCTGCTGAGAAGACGATCCCAATTCCCCCACTTTCTTCACCAGGGCTTAGAGAGGGAGACATCCAACTGTAAGACTAGTCAGGCACTACATTATTTCATCCTACTAAACAAGTATAGTCATGCCTTTAATTCCTTAAAATCAAGAGCAGGTTACTTCACTGGCTCGGCTACTGTTTTTAGGAGTACCGTGTGTCAACCAGAACTATGAAATACAAGGCTGAAAGAGCAAAGGCACCTGGACAGCTCGCCAGAGCACACTGTGAACACCTTCTAACCACTAACCCCCAGATCAAAATATGGCACGGACTAGCAGATAAATATACCCTACAAACAAAACACATCCTACAAATTAATATTGTTTCAGGAATAAGAATTTAGCACAACAAAGCCTCTACAATACGCTCCCCCATGAATCTTCAAAGCGGGAACGCCTGGGATGGAAGTGAAAAGCCCAAGGGAGTCTGAGAACAGGGAGCTCTCAGATGTGTCGAGGAAGGAAGCCATCACGTTTTATTTTTAAAGGCTGTGGGAAAACCCAGGAGAACACACCATGAAAGCTGCTTGACAACACACCAGCGAACAGGGCCAGAGCAGTCATCCACCACACGGCACTACACAAAAACAATCACACGATGCATTTGCAAATAAAAGGAGCCTCTGCAGTGGGCTGGTGGTGCCTCTTCTGTAGCTGGTGGATGTCTTCACGTTCCACTGCCAAGGTACCCAGAAGATTTTCAACACAGGAGTCAACGAGTAAGATGTTGATAAAAAGGTGATCAACATCAGGAACACACAGTGCTACAGGCAACGAGACGAGGGCCTGTCAGCCTGCAGGTAAGGCCACAGACCCGCTAAAAGACTGAAATTCCTTAACAAAAGAGTTTGTGGAGCCACCAGCCCCACCAGCAGCCGTATGCATCCAGGAATATTTAACAGAGCAATCGTTCAGGCTGGTAAAAGCAGCAGCTCTGCCTCTCTCTCGTGTTCCCACCACTGTGCATACAAGCAGGTAAACAGCAGCCTTCCTGCCGGGGAATCATTCTTCACGTAGCAACTGCACCACAAGGGCAACCGCAGCACAGCAACACGAAGCATGGGGCACTGGGCAGCCGGCAGAGCTTCGTGCAGAGATGCCCGAGCCAGCTGCCAGCGTGGCGCGGGGCTGAGGAGCCTGGGTGCGCTCAAACGCAGCGGTACAGCTCCCAAAACCAAAGCCAGGCTCCTGCCTCAGCACCACGCTGGGTGGTTGCAGAGGTACCAGCTCTCGTGAGCTCCTTGAAGGTTCTCCAGCACATCAGACGGCGTGAGGGCGATCCAAGAGCCGAACTACTGCGCCCTTGCGCTTCTGCATCTATGCACTTTTTAACGTGAGGAGCTGTTTCCCAGAGAAAAATCAGGAGACCTTCATTTCTGCTGCACACAGCGAGGAGGAGCTCGGCTGAAGGTCAGACGGGAACATGTAACACGAGCTCTGATCCTGAACTGTTGTTTGCAAAACAGAAACTACAAAGGCTGGGAGGGCCACACTGATTCAATGAATATACTTAATTGGACTTTCCCAATCTGCTCGTAAATAGACGGGTAAACATCTGGTTTTTGCTTTTGCCCACAGATAAAAGTGACAATTAATACAAATGTGGAAATGTTTAAGTTTCCACTTCTAAGTTTCCACTGTCCAAAGACAGATAAAATGGCTAAAAAAGGATCTTAGCCTTCACTAAAATAGGAAGGCACGTATCCTTATGCTACAGATTTCCACTTGTGAAGCTACGGAAGATAAGTCCATGGGCCTCAAACAGCCCCGTCCTTATTCAGCTACTGGGAGGTGCGGCTACACAGATTTATTGGTTATGGGACCGATTGTGAGACACAGGACTATCGTAAAACCAACTCAGAGATCTAAATTAAGACACCCAAATTTAGTAGCCTACCTGAGAGCAGGGTATCTAAGATTCCATCAAGGCCAAGAGAGATCTGTGGTATCACCCACACATTAGTGTCTACAGCCACCAGAGAGACATTAGGGCATTCCAGGCATCCCCATGGGGCTGGCAGATACGACACAGAACCTAAAACAGATCCGTTCCCCTCTAGAGAAATGGCTGGAGGACAGGGGAAGACAACTCAGGGCACCTCCAGCCGCAGTGTGACGCACCAGTGAGTCCTTCAGAAGGGAGCAGGCCTGCAGTCACTGCCTTCTGGCTTCTAACACTCAGAGCTTAGCCAACAAAGAAACCAGAGCAAGACTTCTAACTGCTCAAAGGCATCCCATTTAATCACATTTGGAGGACACTGCTTTTCAGCCATCCGGTTGTGAAAAGAGGGAATCGTCACTGGCTCTTAGGTTAGAACAATCCTCGGAGCTTTTCACAGCAAAGCCAGATAATCTGCAACACCAACCTGCACGTGAAATTTCAGGTCACAGAGGCAGACCACCACTTCTCAGAGAGAAGTTATCAGTATCTGGAAGAACGGTTTTAACATAGGACTGGTCTAACACCCTCTGAAGCCAAAGGGCTATGGGCAGCGGACTGGGAAAACAGAGCTGAAGATGAGAACCCACCTGTTAACACATTGGTCCTTTAGTAGAAGAATAAGAAATAAGAACACGGGGGATTTTACACCCAGAACATGAAAGCTATGAAAGGCAAAGTGAACATAAAAAGGCTCGTACTACTGAATATAAAGCTTTCTCTCTACTCAGTAGAGAAAAGCTTCTCCAGAAGATGTCACAGAGCACCAAGTGAGGTGTGGAAGATCTGAACCGCCTTACGGAAGAGTCTTTCTCTCCACTGAGCTTAGGATCCTAGGAGGACAAGTTTCCCAACTCAGTTAGTTGACTTACACGAAGTTGAGTGGTGGGAGATGCTTTAAAAGCTGGGTTTGGTGGTGCTAATTGGACCAAAGGAGTCCAGTCATTTTCAGACAAGCGCAGACAGAAGGCTGCTTTGTGACCCCCAACAACCCCCTAGCTGCTCTAACCCACTCTCACCCTCACAATGGACAGATTAGTAGAGAAGACCACAGATAGGTGCACGGAGAGCTGAGCATCCTTCTGTTATTTCAGCCTGCCTGGCACCTGCTTCTTCTGTGAACCTGCTAGGGAAAACGGGAGCAAGGGCAACAGGATAAACCCAGCTACCTTAGCAAGGCCATCCTGGAAGATCTGTGAAAAGGTTTTCTAGAAACTAACAACTTTTGGGGGCAGAAAGCAGAACAGGCCATGTTGTGTAATGGATGCTCCAAGAACAGGTTTTCTTCTCGCAGTTTCGAGCAGCTGAGAGGCCACCTCTCAGCTTATGCACAGAATTTTCATTGCAGGGCAAGGCCCCGGTAACTTCAGTCTGAAATTCTCCAGGGTTAGTTAGATAACCCGGGATGAGCAGAAGGCTGAGACAGAGCTCACACTGCTGAAGGGTCTGACGGACAGTGAGCAGGTGCAGTATCAGCTGGAACAGCAACCGCAGCACATACCGACGACCCAGTGCCAACATATTTCCATCCTGGGAGGAAGAGAGGAACATCCAACACATGCAAACAATAATAAGAGTGAAAGAGCCCAAGAAGGAAGTATACTCCCATCTGCCAAACTAAGAAAGACCCAAAGAGCCGAATTCCCACTGATGAACTGAGGTGTTTTTTCAAAAAAAAAAAAAAAAAGAGGTTTTAAGCAAGAAGAGCTGCAACAAACAAGGTCGGTTGTACGTGCTGGAAGACATCAGCACTGGAACAACTTGGCCTTAAAGAGAAGAGCCTCCTGCTATGCCTGCACAGCAGATGGCCTGCTGAGGTCAGGAGGAAAGAAGGCATGTACGTACCGACGTTGCAACATAAGGTGGGGATACCCAACACCACCGAAAACAAACAGCTCGGGAGGCAGATGCTGCCCAGAGTCAAGCATCCACCGATCCACCCTACCCCTCTGCAGGCTGCAGGGGAGCCACAGGGTCATCGTCCAACACACATGCAACACCGAACAGGCTGAAACAAGGATTCAGTTTTTGGTCACTGCGTTAGGGCTTCTGAATCCAGCGTCTACCCTATGATTTTTGAACAGGGTAGTAAAACATAAAACCTCTTTCAGCAGTTAGGCAGGTAGTCCTCAGCTTCCAGGACTCTTTC